GTTTATTCCACCTATCTTATCTAGTCAGCCATGCAGAGACAATAATAAGCATGCAAGCAAGGCAGAACAAAACAAAACAACAAAAGAAAACCAAAAAACAAACAGCATCAACAAAAAAAGACGACAAAAAAGAGAAAAGCCTATAAGTAGTTCAAGGTCTATTTGTTTACCTTTAGGCATGTTTTCCCATCAGCTCTGACGGGTACCATGCCCTGGCCCCAAAGTCTATTGTTGGTATTCCCAGGGGACTTCGTTGCTTTGCTCCTAGACATCCCTCACTGACCCAAAGCGCTACTAGGGATAACACTGAAGGCACAGTGTGGGATTGTGCCTGATCTGACTCCACCACACTGGGGCAAAATGCTAAGAGCGTGCAACAGAGAAACTTAAACTTTTTTAATGAAAGTACTTTTTCAAGTGGTCTTTGATGTTTCTCTTGGTCTATTTTGTTCTCATCTTTTGACGTTCCATAAACAAAAACACAGCCATTGAGTTCATTCTGACTCAAACCTATACAGGATTTCCAATGCTGTAAATCTTTACGTTAACAGCTTCAACTCTCTCCTGCTGAGTAGCTAATGGGTTTGAACCACTGACTTTGCAAGTAGCTGTCAAATGCTTACCCAACAGCACCACAGGGCCCCTTAAGCTAAAAATGCCCTGCTCCTTTTTAAAGGATGCTTCATCACCACAAGGTAGTACACATTTTATATCTTTTGTACACTGCATTTCTTTTTATCACATTTTATCTTTTTCTGAGTAGGAAATAATAGTGGCACCATTTCTATAACATATTAGTGAAGCTTTGGGTTATAATTGACCTTTAAACAAAAAGAAATCATATTATCTTAGAAATTTAGAGACCCAGCTTCCTAACCCCAAGCAGACATAGTCTGGGTAGCCTTTGGCTTAAGAACTGTTCAGTAGGGAAAGTCTAGGGTTCTGAAAAGAATGTGGTTCTTTTTATTTCTTTTTCTGGGCAGGCCTTACTATCCCTACTGTTACCACGCCAAATTCGCCTTAAAAATGAGATAGAAGAAAATCTGGACATGGATCTTCTCAAGCAAGAATCAGAGCATGGGGCCCTGGATGTGAATCGTCTCTCTAACTACATTCTTAATTTGATGATCCAGCTGTGTGCCCCAATTCGAGATGCAGCAGTGAAGAAACTAAAAGACGTAACAGATCCTGTGCTTTTATTGAAGTGAGAAACTAGATATACTCACCCTGAAATCTGTCTCTGACACTAAGGCAGAAAACCCTGGGCCAGACATTATATTAAATCCTGTACAGATATTGTGTACTGAAAGCAGAACTCATATATCTCTTCACGTTCCTGGTTTTTGATTTCCAATTACAATTTCTCAGGGCTCCTTTGGTGACCAGTAGTTCACTTGGGCCCCCTTGTATAACATGATATCACCAAGGCAGTGTATACTAACCCTTTCTTCTATAGTTTTAAACTCCCTAAAACACTGCCTTTGAGTTTATTTTGATTCAGGGTGAACCTATAGACTCTATAGGACAGAGTACAATTGCTTCTATGGGTTTCAGGACTGTAACTCTTTATGGGAGTAGAATGCCTCATCTTTTACTGCAGAGTGATGGAGAATTTCTAACTGTTGACCTTGGAGTTAGGAGCCTAATGTGTAACCATGCCACCGGGCTCCTTAGATTTCAACTAGTCCTTCCTAGATGTTATCCTTTTTGTCCCAATTCAAACCCTATGAGAGGATAGGGATGGGGATTATTCTTTATTTACAGCTAGAGAAATCAAGACCCAGAAAAATAATGTGATTTTCTCAGTGAATTCGAAATTGAACCACTTAAGATTTTTAATTACCCTTAAAAAGTGGCCAGCATTTTAGTGATTTTCTTTCCACTGAGCATTCCATTTCTTATATGACAGAGTCACTGTAATGGAAAGAGCTCTAAACTTGTAGCTTAAAAGGCCTGAAGACTTATGTATCCCTGGGCCTCAGCTTCTGGTCAATGTCTTTTTTAAGAAATTGAAGTAGGACTTTTAATTATAAGACCACTTCTAACTTTAAAACACTGATTTTAAGAATGCTTGCTTATATTACACCCCTCCATACAAGATTTCCTTTCATGGTGTAAATATTTTATACCTTTATATGACAGGGGCATCTTCCATGTTCTGGGCCAAATGAGAGTGGACATGATAAACTACACTATCCAGAATCTTCGACCCTACCTGCAGGAACATTCCATTGAGTATGAACGAGCTAAATTCCAGGAACTCCTCAACAAGAAACCTAGTATGTTTAAAATTTAACAACACTAGAGGGGAAATTTGATCATTGAGCTGTCTTTTTACAATGCTAAAGAGTATTTTTAAATTTTTTTCCATAGAAATTTTCTTTAGGGGGTACAAAGTAGTAGTAAGGAGCATTTATCTGAGAGTGAAAGACCTATAAAAGCATTTCTTTATTGACCAAGAGTACATTTTAAATAAAGCATTAATATTTAAGCTCAGGAATTTGAAGGTACTTAACGTATTCCTTTATCAACCACAGGTCTTCTGGATCACACCACCAAGTGGCTAAACAAAGCAACAGCAGACGTGACAGCATCACTTTCAGGTTTTGAATCCACTAGTTCCACTTCTAACAGCTTTGAGACCCCCACCCTCACAATGGTGCTATACCAGGGTTACCTGAACCTCCTCCTCTGGGATGCAGAAGATGATGAATTTCCTGAGGTAGGAATGTGTTTTCAGAATTGCTTTATTCTATTGTGTGTAAGACATGTACCAGAACCTTTTGTTCCTGACAGTTTGTTCTTTCTTACCACACCAGACTTTGCTAATGGACAGAGGTAGGCTGAAAGAAATGGCGTTTCAGTTGGAGCAGTTAACTGTCTTGGCATCTGTCTTGCTAGTGGCCAGAAGTTTCTCCGGAAACGTTTTATTTAACTCACCTACATTTGTGGATAAATTGAAATCCATAACCAAAGTCCTGACACAGGACTTTAACTCCAGGTAAACTTCATAGATTTTTCTTAAAGTGGAAATAGTATATACTATGTGGTATATAGGCATCATAACTCACACAAAAGCCCTTCCTAAACACCTGCAACATTTGTTGGTGTTTTTTTAGTAAGTGGCACTGAGGCTTGGGATAGAGAAAAATAAAACTTCCTTCCAAAGAAGGGAGCGTGCTGGCTACCTTGCCTCAAATGATTCATTAGTGTGTTTGCTACAAATGACTGGTATTTTGTATATCCAGAAGTTAATCACTTTGTCGATGATATTAACTGAGCATCCACTATGGGTAGGCCATCTAATAAAAGTAAAAGGAGTAATTAGAAGTCTACATTTCTTAATGTATTTACAGTTTAATTGGTAAAGTAGGAAAGCAGCAATGGAAAATACTTAGGAAAATCTAAAATTAACATTGAGTTAAAGCTTATGGTGCCAAAGAATAAAGAATGAATTTAAGGATGGACCCAAACCCTTTCTAGTTTATTTTACTTTCTTCAAAGTGGAATCTGGTATACGTGTATAAATTAGTTGATAACTTGAAGCTAATAGTGAAAATATTGTACTTGTTCCTGAGTCCTAGTACGGGGCTAAAGTCTCTTGAGTGGACCTGGATAGATATTTGCTAGATCATCAGTTTTTTATTGTGCATTGTCTTTTGGAGCTTGATAACATGTTGTCCTTCAGAACAATCCAAAATCTCATTTATGTAATTTACCCAAATGGGTGGGTTGCTTAGTGAATATCAAAGTATGGACTCCCTGGGCCTTAATTATTTTCATGCCATGACCACTCTGGTGCCTATATTCTGTCCTTAATTGTCTAGGCCTGAAGAGGCTATGCTGAGTGTGAGTGAGCAACTGTCTCAGGAAATCCATCAAGGCCTCGAGGACATGGGGCTCACTCCCCTGAGCAGTGACAACACAACATCTCTAATAGGCCAACTTAAAAACATTGTAAAGAAGGACAACTGTGTTCGTACCGTCATTGGTAAGAATCCCCAAGGTGGTGGGAAAGGGACAAGAAGGTGGGGCACGGGCTGGTAGAACCAACTCTGGAAGTCAGTTACTGAACCATTTAAAAGTGGAAAAGCATTGAGCAAGCCTTTCTATTTAGTTTCCTCATCTATTATGTGTAGGACTGAAATAGATTCCTAAGACTTAAGAGTGATGATATGGTTTTAAGGTGGTTCTATATCACCATTATGTAATTTGTAGGTGTTGGATACTCCCCCAACAACCCTGCTAAGTAATGGTTATGCATGGGCTGCTAACCGCAAAATCAGCTATTTGAAACCACCAGCCACTCTGCAGGAGAAAAACAGGGCTTTCTTTCCAAAAGAGTTACAATATCAGAAACTCATAGGGGTGGATCTACCCTGTCCCTCCGTGTCATTCACTTCCACTCACTTCCTTCTCCTTTTATTCTTGTAAAATGATGCAGACTCAACTCACCTTATTTTGAACCAGGGTTGGGACCTGAGTAAAGACTGTTACATCCCACCCAAATCGCCGTACAATTGGTTGGATAATCACATCAAATAATGTTATGTGGATGATCACGTCCTTCATCTTGTTAGGTCAAATACACACCCGAATGTCATTTATAGACACATAAAGCAATCTTTTGAATATCTAAAAATTTAGCAGGTCACCAGCTTTTGGTTGTTCTCATCTTTGTTCTCTAAAAGCAAAACAAAGCAAATCTAATTTATGTGGTATATCCAAATGAGTGGGTGGCTTAGTGGATATCTCAGTTAATATTTTAAAAACTAATTTAAAATTTAGGTTAGTGGCTATCTCAGGGAGTACAAGGGCATTACTAATTTCTGCGGAAATGTCTTTGCTCTCCACCTTTCTATTGTTTTTCCCTGCTCACAGATCAGCGAATCCGATTGTTTCTCAAAAGCTGTTTCATTCGTGGTATACAGGAGTCTTTGCTAGACTTTCCTGGAGGCCTTATTCTTATCAAGGAGGAGTTGGAAGAATTGGCACGGAGATTTGTTAACCTAATGTATCGTAATCAGCAAGTATTTAGCCCCTACTATGTTGAAATCTTCAAAAATATCAACCATCCAGTTCAGGACTCAGGAAGGGAACTGTAATCTGATAGTGACAGGAGCCAATACTGACATCTGGAACCTAGGAGAAAAGGTTTTTGGATGACATCATATGTGGCTCTCAGGGCAGCCAGCCCTCCTACACTCTGCATCCAATAAAGAAGGCTGTAGAAGTCAAGCACGTAAACAGCAATTAGATCAACCCACTTCAAAAATAAAATTCCGAGCTGCAAGAAAATCTCTGTTTCTTCTTTTTTTCAGTTGAAGCCAGGTCCTGGGAACACATCCTCCAAATAGCTGAGAAGCCAGTGAGCCCTCAGTTTTCCCCTTGACTGGATGGTCACTGTCCCATATGCAAGCTTCAGCAGCTAAGACACAAGGTGTTAGCATTAGTTACTCCATGGCAAATAAGTTCTGTTAGATCTCTCTGGAGCTAGATATACCTCGGTCCGTGGCTCCGCGCGAGAAAGAATTCACGCCGAAGCCTGGTTCGTGATCGAAGTGAGTTTTATGAAACTTAGAAGAAGTTTCAGGTTTACACGGCACCCGTGGGGCTCCTCCCGAACATGCGGTCTGGTTGGAAGCTGCTCAGCGTCACGCAAAAGTTCTCCCAAAGTCCTGCTAAAGTTCCCTCTTTCCCCCTCAACTCCGGGCCTCTGCCTTTTTAAGGATTCCATGGGGAGGCATGGTGGAAGACCCCTGATCGACCCCATTGGCTGAATTGAATTCACCTGGCCTAGGTGGACTAATTCAGGTTCACGCCCAAACCTGAGCCTCTGGGCATGTGCTGTGTGCCACTCCTTTGTTCCTGTAGCTTGGCCCTCTGGGCATGCGTTAACAGACATTCCCAGCCCTTTGCTAACCTACCTAACAGTTCTTTGTGAGCTATTTCAAAATCCTTTTGGAATTTTTCAAAGTATGCGTATAAGGGCTCTGGAAACAGCAATTCACTGAATTACAGATCAAGGGAGTACAGAAAACCTCATTTCCAGTGTCCAAATTCCTTATAGTTTTAAAGGATATAGCAATAGATAACATTCCTGTTGTGGTGGGTGGTTTGAAAAAGTGTGATACTGTGTATTGGATGAAGGTTTATATTATCTATTTACTAGAATTCAGCTGAGGACAGGTCTTGACCTCCATGAGATTTTTCTCTTTCAAGTGATCTAGACTTAAAGTCTTGGATAAGGGCAGCAAACCCAAGAAGTTAGGTCAGTGACTGATTTGAATCAAGTTTATCCCTGGTCCTGTTCTAAAGCTAAATACATTTTTCTGTTCCTGTATCTTTGGGCTTTATCATTTTTTCTTATAGAAATGTTGTTGGTATTCAAGAATGGGGCAGTCAGCCACCATCCTTATTATCATTTAAGTCTTGAATAAATTGGCACCACAAATGAAGGCTATTTTAGGAAGGACCTGGCCTTGTTACTTGAGTTTACAAAAATTAATCCCATCATTCTCAATCCAAGCATAGCAGATCAATAACAATCAAAGAAACATTTCAATTTAGATTTAACAAACAACGGCCATTCAGTCGGCAGACTTATAGGACAGGGTAGAACTATCCTGTGGGTTTCTAAGACTAAACTTTTACAGGAGTAGAAAACTTCATATCCTCTCAAGGAGCAGCTGGTGGTTTCGAAATGCTGACCTTGCAGTTAGCAGCCCAATGTTTAACCACTACAGTAATAGACAGAGTGAAATAGAAAGTAATTACATGCTATCCTAAATGTGTGAAAAAATACTCACAATTTCAGGGGGTAGAAGGAACTGAGCATAACATACATAACCCCAAAGTAACCTATTAATTGATTTCCTTTTTTAGAAGGGTGGATCCCAAATGGGCCACACAACTGGTAAACAAGGGGATAGTTTTATGTGGAGGTATATACAAAAAAGCAGGGGAATGAATAACTCAAGGATTCTAATCTTGTGACACGATTGCCCAACAAAAAGACCAGAGATGATGAGGATGGTATATTGAATAAAAAGGGAGTGAGGCTTGCCTAGTTATATTTTCAAGTATCATTTGAAAATATTAATATTTTAGTTTTTTAAATGTTCCAAGAAAATATGAAATACAACAAGGAAATTTTTATTAGATTTCAAGGCTTGAGAATAATTATTTGTGGCTTGATCTGCTCTCTGAAACTGCAGTAGTCTCAACCTGCAGCAGCACCATCAGACTACATAGTTCTAGGCTGAGGTGGTCCAGAAGCAGCCCCAATTGGTCCACCACAGTGACATCCCTGCCCTCCCAAAACGAAGAAAGTAGCTCTGTCCTTTGGGACCAAGGAGGCTGTGGCCTGGCCCTATGGAACTGAGAAGGCAGCTTTCCTCACTCTTTTTTTGAGCCCTCACCAGAATTGTGGTTAACAAACATAATTCTACCATCAGTGTCTCCTAGGCGCCTACATCTAGGCTTTATTATCAGACACCTTAAAATTCTTCCAGCCTCTACCCATTACTAGCTCACATTTTTAGGTATTACAACAACCTCGGCCTTTCTAGTACCAAAATCTTTTCCCTAGGGTTACTAGAAGAAGGTAACACAAACTGGTTAACTTAAAAGTAAACAAATGTTATCTTAGAGTTCTGAAGATCATTCTTGTTAGGTGCCGTTGAATCAGTTCCAACTAATACTGGCCCTGTGTACAACAGAATGAAACTATACATTCTTGTGCAATCCTCACAATTGTTCTTATGTTAGAGTGCATCTATGAAACCACTGTGTTATCTGTCTTATCTAAAGTCTTCCCCTTTGTGCTGCTTCACCACTTAACCAAACATGGTGCCCTTCCCCAGCCAGATTTGTTTGCCAACACCATAGTCCAACTGCATTATATTTTCTTTGGTTTTTCTTATTTAATGTTCAAATTTCACATGCATATGGCTTGGGTCAAGCACACCTTAATCCTCAAAGTAACATCCTTGTTTTTCAATACTCCAAAGAAGTCTTGTGCAGCCGATTTACCTAATGCAATACATTCTGTGGTCTCAAGAATTCTTTGGTTTGTAGCAGCAAACCTACATCTTCACATGGACATTTTTCCTTCTGTGTTCTTTCACTGTGCCTCTTCCCTTTTTATAAGGACACTAATTATATTGACTCAGTACCCGCCATACTTTGTTATGATCTCATGTTAATATATATGCCAAGACAATATTTACAGTTGCTAAGATGTAGAACTTGAACATTTTTTTGAGAGAGACAAAATTCAACCAATAACACCATCCTAGTGGATGTGATGGTGGTTGAGTGATACAAACAGTTAAGTGCTCAACAGCCAGCTAAAAGGTTGATGGTTCAAACACAACTAGAGGTGCCTCAGAAGACGTCTGGCTATCTGCTTACCAGAGATCACAGCCTTGAAAACCCTATCAAGGAATGCTACTTGGCACACACGGGGTCACCAGGAATCAGAATTGATGTCATGGCAACTAACAGAAAAGTGGGTATGACATGGTATTTCATTATGGCTTTGATTTGTATTTCCTGAATAACTAATGATCTTGACCATATTTTCATGTGCTTATTTGACATTTATATAATCTAGAGAAGTGTCTATTCCAATCATTTGACTCACTTTTTAAAATAGAAAGAGCTTTATATTCATGGGGAAGTCATAAATATGTATGCTCCAGAAAGCAAATGACTACACTTACTTAATTTAATATTTCATTCCATTACTTAGCCCACATACCAGAGTAACATCATTGAGTATGACATTTTTGGTTGTGATAGAATTCATCATTTAAAATGAAGTCATCCGTACCTACTGAGAAAATGTTTCTGAGGGTTTCCTTTATCACATCTCTGTAGCGTTTCCTCTGGGAGAAATTCTCTCAGACACATCCTCAACAGATAGATGTGTGCTAAAACATTCCACATAATTTGGTTCAGCAAAGTACCATATACTCCAAATACATGAAAGAAAGATGAGGAAGAAAGTCCGGTGGAACTGGGATTTCATGGGGATTTGACACAAGGTTCTGTGTTCTAGTAAAGTCTACCCTCGGGTTTAGCTATTCATCTCAGTCCTTCAGTTTATATTCCCTTCCTCATTGATAACATACATGCGGTCTCAAAAATTTGATTCTCAGTGCGCAATGTACTTATCTCTCCATACGTTGACTATGAAAAATTGCAATCATGCCTCTCTTCATAGTCCAGAACAGGAAGTAATAACCCATATCAAAAGGTTGATAACTTCTCCAAAAAGAAAGAACAAAGGAGCTGATGCCAAGGGCTCAAGTAGAAAGAAAATGTTTTGAGAATGAGAATGGCAACGAATGTGCAAATGTGCTTGACACAATGACTGTATGTATGGATCATGATAAGAGTTTTACGTGCCCCCAATAACATTTTTTAAAAAAGAAAAAAGTAAATAAATAAAAATCAGGGGATTTCCAAAAAAAGAAAGAAAGAGCCACAAGCTGCTGCAAAGAAGAAAAATGAAGCTATCTAGTCCTGTAAAGAGTTAGCCTGGGAAACCGATAGGGACAGATCTACCCTGTGCTATCGGAGCACTATGAGTTGGCATCAGTTTGATGGTAATGAGATAGCTTTTGAGACGCCAAAGTTTCAATAATTACAATTGCACTCTAGTGCACTCTGTCCCTTCAAGGAGATGAGCAAGAGTGTTAGAACGGGAAGCAGCATCCAGGTTAAAGATAAGGGAGAAGAAAACAGATGCTATCACAAACTTCAAACTTTGGGACCCAAAGCTACTAATTATACCACCTGCCCCCTAAACAGACATCCAAACACACAGTAATGTTACATGATAAAAGACTGCCTAATCTCTGAGGAATCACAATAACATACACTATGGTTTGCTGACTGTCAACAAGTGGTTTTTAATCGGATGGGTTTTTTTTCTGCTTTGAATATATAGAGTTCTCTATATATTCCAGACAATAAACCCTTATTAGAGATATGGTTCTCAAAATGTCTTCTATCATTCTGTAGATTGCCTCTTCAATTTTCCCCCGAAGAATAAGTTTTTTATTGATTCCACGTGATAATGGATGATACACAAGTTCCGACTCTGTCCATAATTTAATCTGCTACTATTATTCAATTGAATGTGCCAACAACCATTTTTTGAAAATAACCAAATAAACACTGTTAATTAGGTTTGGTGACCATTTTAACGGTGAACTCCAGGTTACACAACAGTAATGTCAGTTTCACTACATTATTTCTGAAAACAATGACTCCTCTGCCTCTATGCA